TGCCACACTCACACTCGGGCAAGGCAGCGCCTTCCTGGAGGGAACATTCCTCGGAATAACACAAAAAGCCAAGAGCAGAGGATCACGAGGCTGCTCTGATCAAAAAGCAGAGACACGAGTGCTGTCGGCTGGACCTTCGACACCCACAGAGTGAACAACGGGTCATTCTTCTATCTGCACCCCCCCTTTGCACCGAGGACACCACCAGCCTCACTCCAACGGCTCTTTGCTTTTCTTCTTGACAGCCGGAACAGCAGCAAAGCCGAGCAGGGGAGAGCTGGGAAGCCGACGGCTGCTCGCTCATTCTCACCCCACCCGTCCTCAACTCTCCCATCCTCAACTTGCCTGTCCCCAACTCACCCATCCTCAGCTCACCCATCCCCAAATCATCCATCCTCAACTCTCCCATCCTCAACTCGCCTGTCCTCAACTCTCCCATCCTCAACTCTCCCGTCCACAACTCGCCCGTCCACAACTCGCCCGTCCTCAACCCGCCCGTCCTCAACCCACCCGTCCTCAACTCATCCATCCTCAACTCACCCGTCCTCAACTCTCCCGTCCTCAACTCGCCCGTCCTCAACTCACCCGTCCTCAACCCACCCGTCCTCAACTCTCCCGTCCTCAACTCTCCCATCCTCAACCCACCCGTCCTCAACTCTCCCGTCCTCAACTCATCCATTCTCAACTCGCCCGTCATCAACTCTCCCGTCCTCAACTCGCCCATCCTCAACTCGCCCGTCCCCAACTCGCCCATCCTCAACCCACCTGTCCTCAACTCTCCCATCCTCAACTTGCCCATCCTCAACCCACCCGTCCTCTCTCCCATCCTCAACTCGCCCATCCTCAACCCACCCGTCCTCAACCCACCCGTCCTCAACTCTCCCATCCTCAACTCGCCCATCCTCAACCCACCCGTCCTCAACCCACCCGTCCTCAACTTGCCCATTCTCAACTCTCCCATCCTCAACTCTCCCATCCTCAACCCACCCATCCTCAACTCGCCCGTCCTCATCGTGGCGGCGCAGGGGTTTGCTCGACAAGCCTTGGCTCACGCCGGGAGCAGTTCCTGCGATTGAAATTTCTGCATTTGATGTTGGGCTTTGAACTCACTGGTTCCTGCGGGCCCTGCCGCCATCGTTAACTCTTTTAGAGCGGATTTGTGGCCAATGTCTTGTCAGCGCGGCATTTTGTTCGTACACAAGCACACCCACGGTCTGGCCGCTCCGGGCAGCCCTTTGCGTGGACACACCGAAAACCCGACCCCATTCCTTCCAGCCCACGTGGACGGTGCAGCGGCAGCCCGGAGCACAACACACCCACCAAAACCGGGGCACGCAGCCGGTCAGACACCCGCCGGCCCCGCAGGGGCCACTCCCTGCCCCAAAACCAGCTCACCCCCTGGCCGGCTCTTGCATGCCCACACCGCTCCGCCGGCACCAGCACCAGCACATCCCAGCCCTGGAAAACCTTCCCTGCACGGACCCGGTGGAGAGTCCCCCCAGGGCGGTGGCACTGTGGGTTCATCCTGGTGGGATTCCTCCTTGGTGCCACCCACGCTCCTGCCAAGGACCAGAGATGGTAACAGCAGAGGGGACACGGCTGCGCTCCCATTGCCGTGCTGAGGCAGGGCACCCGGCCGGCTCCTAAACGGGTCGGACAAGCTCGTTCCGCGCTAATTGTTCCTGCGCCAGGACTTGCCCCAGATGCAGGAGCCAAGTGACCCGAGAGCGCTCGCCTTCCAGAAGGACGCAGTGCCAGGCACTCACGTGTACAGACGGAGATCGATACTTGGGAAACACCAACGTGGAGGAAAAAAATCGGATCCGAAGGTTCCCGGATTTCGGAGCCAGCCCGCGCGGCTGCTCCCCGTCGCGCTCCTCTGCTTTTTGTAGGTGAGGAAAGAGGGGGTGGCGCACACCCGAGACTTCCAGTATTTTCATGATGTAATAAATCAAACTGATTGAAAAGCTCGATTTCGATTCGAGCAGCAGCCGCGAGGCTCAGAGATTAAAAACGCCCTTGGAAAATATAACACAGCACCTGAGACTGTGGAAGGTTTGGTTAGGAAGTAAAGTGGTAAAAAATCTGAGCAGTGGGGTG